ACCAGTATAATTATGCATGAGTACAAAATTTTATAACTATTGTTTTGAAATAATTTTTAAAATGACTGTGATTTAGTTGGTATAGGAAATAAATTAAGATAAAGCGGCAATTCAAAAAGAGGGAACAATCGTATCGGTATAGCTGTCGTTTGCAAAATAAATTGTTTTATCATATTTTCGCCATAGCAGGGAAATTCTTCAACTAGCTCTTGTATTAATGCATCTAAAATCTTCCAAGGAAAATTAATGTTTGAAACGTTGACTTTTATTAAATTGTACTATCTCATTTTTTCTATAAATTGCACTTTCGGAAGCTGATACCACTGGAGCTGGTAGATCAGAAACAATACACTGGGTTTCAAAAAAAAAAAAGCAGAATATCCTCTTGTAGATCAATTATTTGAAATCCGGGTTCTCAGTACACAGTCGAGGACTCATAATTTAATAACTTTAACTGTATGTTCATTATTGTAGATTCATCCATTAAATTTAAACTTTGCAATTCATATTTTGACAAATTTCCAACAATATCAGATGTGATTTTTTCATCTTTAAAACGAGGTACCAACGTGACAAGGTTTATCTCTTTTAAAATCGCATTCATTTTACATCAATAGTTACAGATTTGAGCCGTAATTCCGGAGAAGCAGATCGGAATCAGTTATGGCGTAGACAGTAATCGTTCTAATCGTGATCATGTTTATTGACCATAACAACGATGAAAGCACATCATATAAGTATGTTTTGACATCATAAAATGAAGTTATCCGAACCACATCATATAATGTTACAAGCACCTAATATAATGACACAAGCACATCATATAAAGATGTTTGCACATAATATAACGAAAAATGCACATCATATAAGGATATTTGCAGATCAAATAAGGATATTTGCACATCATATAAGTATATTTGCACATCATATAAGGATCTTTGCACATCATAATTACATTTGCACATCATATACGTATATTTGCACATCATATAATTACATTTGCACATCATATAAGTATATTTGCACATCATATAAGTACATTTGCACATCATACAAGTATATTTGCACATCATATAAGGATCTTTGCACATCATAATTACATTTGCACATCATATACGTATATTTGCACATCATATAATTACATTTGCACATCATATAAGTATATTTGCACATCATATAAGTACATTTGCACATCATACAAGTATGTATGTACATCATATAAGGATGTTTGCACATCATATAAGTATATTTGCACATCATATAATGTCAACTGGACACCATATAAAGGTGTTTGCACATCATATAATGACAAGTGCACATCATGTAAAGGTAAACGCACATCATATAATGAAAATTGGCATAATAAGACAGTTTTGGCGTTCCATAATTATCCATTTGTTTGTTGCATTGATATATCACAAAAGTTTTTTTTTTTGTGTCAAATACTTCATAATTTACATTTTATCATTGTTGTTGTATATCCTTATTCAAATATTTTGACCTCGAGCATCAACGAAGAGACATAAATTGTCGAAATGCGCATCTGGTGCATTACAATTGGTACCGTTTATGTTATTACTGCCAATGAATCGATACATCTGCTGGTGTACTATTAGTCCCCGGTAGTATCACCAGCCCAATAGCACTTTGAAACTGGCATGAAAATACGGAAATTATTTTATTAAAATTTGCTGTTATAAAAGTTGGGAAATAACTTTGAATTAAGGAATTGATCTCCCTCATGCAAAGCTCTGATTCTTTGTCCAGATTTGGCCATGTTTAAGGTCCTTTTTGGTTTAATCTGCACTTCAACATTTGTATTAGATTTTGAATATTCAAATATTTTGACCTCCAGCATCACTGAAGAAACATTAATTGTCAAAATGCGCATATGGTGCATTAAAACTGGTACCTTATTTGTTATTACTACCACTGGGTCGATACCTTTGATGGTGGACTATTAGTCCCCGAAGGTATCATTAGTCCAGTAACCTTTAGATCCTTTTTTTTGGTTTGATCCACTCTTCAACATTTGTATTAGATTTTGGATATTCAAATATTTTAGCCTGGATCATCACTAATGAGACATTAATTGTCGAAATGCGCATCTAGTGCTCTAAAATTGGTACCGTTTATGTTATTGCATATACTAGAGAAAACTAAAAGCAAATGAAGGGCGGTGCTATTGTTGTTCTGTAACCCAAAGACCCAGTGAAACTTTTAGCACAAAGCTAAAGCTAACACCTCAATGCATGTTAAAAAAACTTTACAAAACAATCCAGACAGTTAGACAACCACGCTATCATCTACATAAGTTAGATAACTTGGCAAGCTCAAGACAAAATGTATGAAGAATGAAGGTAATTCGGATGAACTGTATAAACACTAAACTATAAACAAAACAAGTGGAAATTGAAAAAATAATACATACACGAGAAGTAATCTGAAAAGTCAATACACTATTACTGTAAAAATATAAGAGAAAACACCAAAAGCACTGACAATTTTTGAACAATCTGATAGAATATTACCATTTTTGTGAGTAATATCTTCTTAAGTCTAGACAACACTTGCACTATTTGTTTTGTATTTATACATGCACTTTAAGAGTTCATTTAACACGTACGTGTGTAACTATCGATGTTGTTTGCGTGCGTCTAAGTGTCCGCTGAAGTAATTCTGTGATTCATTGCTCATACATCAAATATTTTGTGTGAAAAGATTATATAGTTTTGAATAGTTTGGATGTGAGAAATTTCAATATTGTTAGCTTTATTTGTTTATAATGCCAAAAAGCAAGTAACCATGCATTAATGTTGTAGATAAATACTGTTATCCAGTGTCTTGACAGCTTTGAGTACTGATAATATATCCTTCTACTATAAATTCATTGACTTTTTGACTTTTTAATTTTCTCGAACATTTGCACGATAATTATCGTTGCTTTGACATAATTTATAGCTGACGGATCCCAGCGCTAATCATTTCAACCAATCAATGACTGAATTAGGCAATATACAAGTTTCTTCCTGTTACAAAAAATATATAAAGACATCGCTGCAAATTCAGCACACCAAGTGAAATATAAGAGCTATTAACAATGATGTATATTTCTTCCACATTCTGGTTTACTCTTATGATACTATATTTACATGTCGTAGAAAGCACTCATTTCCGAGGAGGCTTTATATCATGGAAGCCAGCTGAAAATAATCAGGTGAGATTCAAATTTTTTTCATAAATTATATGAATATAACATTTCATCGCATCATATTTTTTTTATTTTAAGAAATACTGTTGTTCTAACAGTTAAATATAAACGTCACAGCTATCAAATTAGCGTTATGTTTCTTACAAAAAACAGTTTCAGAAACAGTTCACGTGTTAAATAATTGTGTCAATAAGTTGCAATCAACACAATCAATTTTGTTCAAGAAAAGGAAGACACGTGTTTTTATTGTTGTTGCATGTTTCAATTTGTAAGAGGTTAAGCATGACAGTTCGATATCTAAACGTTCTATTTATAGTTAAAGTATTATCAAATGTTTTTAAACATTGCAGATTGAAATCAATTATCAGGTAATCTATTGACGAGCTTATTGAAACATTGCAGATTGAAATAAACTACAGAGTTGCTTTCCGTAGAAGTGCGAATTCCCATATGTGCGATGAGAACACAATAGACAACGGTACAATGAACTCTGGCGAAGGGGCTCTACAGTGCCTAAAAGGATGCAGTGGAACCATTACTACTATGTCATATTACTGCACTGACTTTAGTGACACTGAAGAATGGACAACGGGCACCAACAGCGTAAAATACAATCCTTCTGCTTCCAGTGACAACCTATACCATTTTGGGTAAGTGCTTGCTATCAGATGAGGATAAGAAGACAAAAAACGGCTTAGATGCTTTGGGACAGCTTGGATAAAATACTTAGAAAAATCCCGATATCCATATGAAAATGCTGTTCAAAATGTAGAAAATGAGACACTGGCGTTTATCAATTATGTGTTTGCCAGGCATTTTTATTCAAATTCTATTTCCAATTCAGATTGTGTTTAAATTCTTAAATTCTTAAGCACAGTTCAATAACACAGCATCAATTTATATAATGTTTAGTATGATTTACTTTGGATATAGTTATGTAGGAGTTATCCGGAAGTTTTATCGTATGATTTCCGAAGTAAAACCAGTTCGATTAGGTATTCACCAGATACAACCTTTACGTGCCTCGAAAAATAAGTTAGTCACAAGTAAATCAAAGATTGTTGAGTTTATTTATCATTAATTTATTTAACCTCATTTGTTGCCATTTTAGGATTTTGAATCAGCCTTCATAGTGTAACCCAAAAAGTCATAACTGGGGAAAATAAAATGGTTAGCAAACCTTTAAATTACAACTTAGGCATTAATGTCAAATCTTCTCTGTCAAAATTATGTAAATTTAAGTAACATTTAAAATATATTGAATTATTACATTGGTAGCAATGAATTACATTGATTTCCCAGTCAAATAAAAACCGATAATTTCACATGTGAAATAAACGTGGTTATTTCACTCTCTGACGTCATACAACAATAGGCGTTGTCAAGACGTCGATAACGTCGGATCAAAACAAATTGTGAATGCGTAGAAAAAAGATATAGTTCCTTACATTTTCTACATTAATTTCATTAAAAAAGCCATTTGCCAATGTAATAAAAAGAATAACTAATCAAAGAATTCAAATATCGAAAAATATTCAACTCGTGACCGAACAACACTGATAATGCGCATTCGTGAATTAATGTGTTGTTCGGTCACTCGTTGAATATTTTTCTCTATTTGAATTCTTCGATTAGTTATTCTATAATTATTTCAACAATATTTCTCAATTTCTTTTTTAAAAGTTTTACAAGCTGTTGTTGGATAAATCTAGTCGAAGGCGGCTCAAACTGGATGATGCGGACTACAGTAGATCTGAACAAACGAAAAGACAATGGGAAAATAAATTCCTCTCCAATATCTGCAATGCAACCTATTGTCAGATTCAATTATGGGTGTGACTATACATTGAAAATACCTGGTATGCCATTTGACAATTTCTCAAAAAAATGGACAACTGGACACATAGAAGTTTTGCTGTTTTATCAGTTCCCTATTATTTCCCGTGAGAGGGAGAGCTATTGTCATTATTATGAGTCCATCAGTTGTTGAAAAATGATTAAAATCTTCCAAAGCAAAACTGATATATTCAAAGTAAAGATGGTACTACTGGAAGGTCTTTTGATAAACCAACATGTCGCCCGTTTTACTAAAGCAGAGGTGAAAACACCAAATTCACTTTTAAAACGGATCATACGTTTGCCTATGAGGACCGAAAATAGAGTTGCCATTGAGACAACAATCCGTCATTGACCACAGAACGTAGATTAAAACCACTATAGGGCCTGGTACGGCATTCAGCGATGAACACAACTCATACGATATTTTTAACTATAAAATGCCCGGCATGACTTATGGGAAACAATTCAAACGAGAAAAAATAAAACGGGAAACAAATATGGTAGAAATCAACAAACGATAACAGCTGAATTACAGGTCCCTGATTTGGGACAGGCAACTACAGAATGAGGCAATATGAAAAGTGGATGCGAGCGTTCAATTTTCTTCTCACCTTAGACAAACGTGTAACCGCACAACATAATATCAAGTGGAAAGGGCTTGGCTCAACAGATCGACACAATCACCGAAAACAACAAAACACACAAAAGGCCCGAACTCCGACTTTAAAATATTGCAGTTATGGGAAGCTAGGTCAAGGCCAATTACAACTAATAAATAAGAAATATGGTTTTCAAAATCAAGTTAGATACCGAAAATTTTCTACCTTTAGTCTTTGACAACATAATCCATTCGGCCTAATAAAAAAAACGTTGGAAGGTATTACAGCTTTTTTGAAGGATATTACTTGACTACGAACGAAAACAGCATCGTAATAGACAACTGAAGTTTTCCTTGCGCTTGAGTAAATAAAGCACGTTAGATGATCACAAATGGTATATACAAAGAACATTACTTGACCTTTTGTAAACTTAAACATTTTTCAAAAGTATGGATAAGCAAGACATTCTGACATGAGCCCAACTATTGTTGAAGACGGTGATTTGTTGGTCTGCTTCTTTTTTTGCCATGACGTTGTCAGTTTATTTTCGACTTATGAGTTTGAATGTCACTTTGGTATCTTTCACCTCTTTATTAATCAAAATACAAAATGTTATTCAATATTTAAGTACAAAAGCAACAATAACATACCAATTAATTTTGTTTTATAGTTTCTGATGATGATGGTGATGTTGTACGTTGTCGGTGGTCTACAAAAACTCCTAATGATGAATGCGGTGGTGTTTGTGAAACACTGAGTGGTTCTTATTTAGATGAGGTAATATGTTGTTGAACATATGCTTTTTTATAATCTGCAAAATCAAAGAAAGAACCAAAAAATTAAACTTGCAAAAATAAAGCAAACTATCTTTTCAAGATCAGAAATTACTTTTACAAATCTTTTTGTATGGAGAGAAGAATGAAATTTCGACGTCAAAAGGACCATGAAAGCCATGAGGACAATTTAAAGCCTGCAATTTAGCTTAAGCCAATTAAATTAACAATGGTAATTGATGAATATGATGAGCAAATAAGACCGAGAAGTAAATCCTGAATCATACTAACTGACATGAGAACGGGAGTGTAATGATATCGTGCCTTTATTGTGTTGTCTCTATATATACAACTCGCATAAAATATAAGCTAAAATTTATAATATGCCTTACCAACTACAATAACTCATGTGCACGTGTTTTCATGCCTAGCAAACATGTCTTTTCTCCATATAATTTAATAATTGAAAAGATCACACGAACCATACTTGGAAAGTACAATATGTATGGTTTTGTTTTAGAGCTCTTGTGTTTTGAGTTACAACGTAACAAGCGTCATTGGTTGGTACGCAGTTGCTTTGCAAATCGAAGACTTCCAGAAGTCTTTCGATACAGTTCCTCTCAGCAGTGTTCCTTTGCAGTTTTTAGTTGTCGTTGCCAGATCAAGCGAATCGTGTGCCTCCAGACCAGTTCTACCGCCGAATATAATAACTGATGGTTCGGTTCACCACATTCCTGTCAACACTATTTTTAATGAGTCGATTGTTGCTAGAAGTGGTGGTGAAACATTAAGGTAAGACAGACATTTTAAAATCAACACAATCTTATAACACAATGTTGACTGATGTACCCCTTTTTTGACATTTTTACCTATTATGTCTGTTTGTTGTGATCACACATCGTTGTCAATATGATGGAATTTTATACGACTGTCATACAAGTGAGAGGTTTAGCTAGCTTTAAAACCAGTTTTAATTCACCATTCTACATAAGAAAATGCCTGTACAAAGTCAGAAATATGACAGTTGTTATCCATTCGTTTGATGTGTTTGAGCTTTTAATTTTGCCATTTGATTAGAGACATTCCGTTTTGAATTTTCCTCGGAGTTCAGTATTTTTGTGATTTTACTTTTTAAGAACTAGTTGGTTAAATAAAACAGTTTGTCAGTTAAGCAGTTCAAACAGTAGAAGCGCTGCTCTCGTGTTCGTTCGTAGTTTTAAAACAACAACAACAACTGCAATACTAATAATTGTCTATTAGATGATTGTACTGGATTAACAAAAGGCATGAATGATTATTCTTTTAACTGGATCTCCATTCTCTGTCGTTAAGCTTCTTATAAATTCTGAAAAATTTGATTGAATAATTTATATCAAATTAGTTTGCAATAATTCTTACAGTGTATGTAACTCAAAACAATATCGATATATGAGTAAGAACAAAACAAATCCGTCACAATTTTGTATAAGTTTTTGAAATAGTTTCATTACATATAAAAGAACAAAAGAAAGTCTGTGCATATTTGTGTCTTGCCGGTTTAGTTTTGAGAAGTCAAACACGAAAAACGATAGTGTTGTCGTTTTTGATACTTCAAAAAGTAAAACGAAAAATGCAAGTTTTGAACATTTGCACTTTACTTTATTTCTGTGATTTAATTCTTCTATTCAATTGAAAAATCTAGTAGAAGCCATTAAAGAGCAATGTGCATAGTGCTATAAAATTGAGAATATTCATACATTTATTTACCCCAAAAACTGTTTTCGCAACGATTGTATCATTTCCTTTTTTTCAAATAAAAATCTTATTTTATCTATAAAAATCATTCTCTATAAGAAGAGTTTCTTGGTATATTAAGTAGAAAATATAATAATACTTATAATATACACTCATGTATTATTATTGGTCTTCAAATGCTTGTATTTAATTAAGCTTTATTGATGAAAGAAAATACAGAAAACCCGCTTCGAACGCGTGTCATGAACAAAGTGTTTTTTTAATTTTCTTTACGTTAGTCAAATACTGTTTTATTTTATTCTTTTGTTTGTTTTTATATGAGCAGAGTTAAAGCAGTTGACACAGTTTCACCTATAGGAATGATTAAATCAGAATTGTTTCCATATGGATCGACTGGTAGAGAATGGTTTGTGACCGTGACTTGGAAACCAACGAAAAGCCAGATAGGCACCCACTTGTTTTGTTTCACAGCGGTTGATAATATAGGGTATGCATGTTTTGGTCATTCTGATCCAGCTTTATATCGAACAAACAATGATGATTTTGTAAATTTTTCAAAAACACTATACACAAGCAAAAATAGCAATGAATACGTAAATACTTGTCATACAAGTTTCTTGAATTCAAATAATTACTGAACTTTCGGTTTTTCTCTTTTGTACTCCAATCATTTTTGCGCTAAAGTTAATGTTATAGTATCATCTTCTTTCATCCTTTCCAAAATCAAGAATATGACGGATGGTTTCCATTCGTTCCGTTTTTGTGAATACTATTTTCTTTAAGGACTTATTCATAATGAACATTTAAATACTTTCGATTTCAGTCAATCCTCAGATCAGACATGCGCTACACTTGTGGTTGACGATCACGAGGTGAAACAGGTGACTGATAACCTTGATGATAACGCTGTGATTGTTCTTAATCCAAGTTGCAATGATTTCAGAACACCAGAAAGTAAGATTATTGTGCGACAAGTCTTTCTAATAACTTTAAAAAAAAAACTAAAGATACTTTAAAGAGAGCTGAATATCATATCTGAAATAGTTATTGACGTTTTACTTTGTATGTTCGACTTTCGCCAAAACGATAATTGTATCTCATATACAAGTAATGAAAGTGTTTTATTTCATTTGTTTTTGTCACAGTAAACATCGATAAATGCAAAATTGATTTTAAAAACTGAGATTTAAATAAATTTTGGAAAATCTGGAATGTTAGAGGCACATTCCAATCCACGTGTATAATGCTGTCGGAAATTGGATTCCTGTGGCATTGATTATTCAAATAACAATCAGAATATTAGATATCAAACGTAAGCGCTAGTCAATCACAAACGTGTATGAATAAAGTTGATTTTTATTGTCCTATATGATTAGTACATGCATTAGGCATAATTTTAAATAACATTGAGAATGGAAACGGGGAATGTGTCAGAGACAACAACCCGACCGAAGTGCAGAAAACAGCCCAAGGCCACCAATGGGTCTTCAACATAGCGAGAAAATTCCGCACCCGGAGGCGAGCTTCAGCTGGCCCCTAAACAAAATGTGTACTATGCAGGTAATGTTATATCAAAAATTGTTCGTACTGTTAACCTAAATAATGAATCGCACTTTTCTTGTAAGGTTGTTGCAATAGACACTAAAATTTGATCCCTTTGAATTTCAAATATTTGAACACCACCGAAGAGAAATTTTAATTCCGAAATGCCTATATAGTACATGAAATTACTTTTGTATCTTGTAATTGTATATTGATATTGAAATGTGATTTTTATCAAAACTATTTTAAACATAGAAGTACGTACTAAATGCATCGATGCAGTAGCAGCCATTCTACCATTGTTTTACCTGGAGTCCAGTTGCCCTTCACATTTTGTTCAGTGTAACGAGCTTGGAACTGGATATATTATGCCATGTGCTCCCGGAACTGAGTGGTGCCAGCAAAAATTAACATGTGTACACGTAGGATCTTGCAAGACTTAATTTTTCTACTAGGTATGTAATTTGTATAACCGGTAACATTCGATCTCACTTGGCAAAATCAGAAAAAACATAACTTTACCTATGGCTTAAAATACAAAACCAACAAAATATGAAACATCCGTTACATCATTACTTCATGTCTTATTGTATCATGAAATATAACATTAATTTCTGTGTACACGAAATTATCAAAAGAATAGTACGCTGTGTTATTTGTCCGGAAACCTTAAGTTAAGCATAGGATGAAATTATTTTATTTTCATGTATTTCATTCAGTTGTAAGCTAAAGACAAACTAGTACAAAAGACAACAACCCAATTAAAAAAAGGTCTTGCGTAGAAGGTGTATGTTGCATTTGAACCCTGACTGTAGTTAAAACCCACCAAGAAAGCCAAACTTAAAATGCTGTACACAAGAAGGGCTTTCTGTAAAGATAAGACCCATAAATTGTGCTCAAATCAAAACAGTAAGAAAACAAATTTATGACGCCCAATCGCACTAAAAATCATAAATAGCGTATATCTTATGCTTTTAAAATTTACATATAAAACGTTTTCTCATCACTTTGGTAACCCCTCCTCTCCACCAAAACAAAAACCAAAATAAAGCGATGTATAAGGCGACAGTATGTATACTCTATTTCATATTTGAGTTATGTAATCTTCAATTTTTGTATTAAAACGTACGACAATTATGTTGGTCAAATTTCAGGCAGCAACACTGTTTGCAATCTTTGAGGGAAGGGGTCAAAATTGAAAGTCGTAATTTCAACAATTGTTTGCAGGTTGTCTAGTTTAAAGATGCATACAACGCACAAAATTAACGATGTGGATAATCTGATGACATAATTGATTACATGAACAGAAACTAATATTACTTTAGCAAAAAAATGAAAACAAATTCGAAAGGGCAATTTTTTAACCCCTAAAACTTGTCATTTCTTTTAAATTTTCTTCTTGAATCAAATTCAAAATCCTTTAAAACAGGAATGTTTGTTAATTTTAAAACAGTTTGAACAATTTATACAAAGATGTGAGCCCTTAAAGTTTGACCATCATTAATCTCCATGGAGGTGTTGCAAAATGGTATCATGGTTATTCAGAGTTTTACGTTTGAGTATTTTTTAGATTATAGTCATGTGTTTCTTGAAAAAGAGGTGCGAAAGATACCAGAGGGAATTTTAAACTCATAAGTCGAAAATAAACTGACAACGCCATGGCTTAAAAAAAAGACCAACAGACAAACAATAGTACACAAAACACAACAAAGAAAACTAAAGACTGAG